ATGAAGGAGTGGGAATTCGAACACATTTGCATATTCCCATTCATGACATTGGCATTCTCAAAAAGAATAAGTGTAGCTGATGGCAATTTTTATGTGAAGAGATTTGTGCATGTTAACAATATACCGTATCCTGTCAGCATAAGAAGAGCATATGGGCCCATTAACTCACCAAATCCGCCACTGTTCTGCACATTTTTATTAAGCAAGTGAAGTCCCTAATAGTCGTTTATGTTATAGAATGCGTGTCAAATGCTATCAGTAAGCCAGGGGATTGTTTTCCCCTAGTGAGAAGGCATTTGAAGTGTGTAAGAAGGCTTGACAAAAGAATAAAACACTTTAAGCAAGCACCATATTAATAAAAATGCATCCTACTGGGAGCCCACATGTGATTGTATTATGTGCACTTTAATGTCTGCTGCTAACAAGTTTGCAGAGTGCCATCTTGATCATAGACCTTTACCCTCCACATTTTCTTTCTCTGGTTTCTAACAATGAACCTGGTTGAAATTAAGTGAAAAGAAAAAATACAGTCTGTTATTACTTTTTTTTTTTTTTTTTAAGTGCTCTTGGCGGTTGGGCAGCTCTCCTCAGCTTCAAAGACTTAAGAATTAGAAACACGGGCAATCATGGCTGCTCATTTCCCCATGCAAGTCCTCCTGGCGAGTCAGAGGACACATCAGGAAATTAACAAACACCCAGAGCTGTGGCCTCTTTAGTAAGAACCTGTGACAGTCAAGCCCAATAGTGTCCACCGATCATGTGTTGAAACAGGAGATTAGTACAGAAACCCCATTAGCTAAATAAGCCAGAGAACCTACAAAAGGGACAGCTTCACACTATGTCTGGGCTTTTCATGATGCCTCTGGTGAAAGAAGTGATTGTAACAAGCGTGCGTAGGAGCTACGTCTTCAGGAGGACTCGGCATTTTATTCATATCTCTTCCGTTGCCAAACTATCCCTTTAATATACCCAAGAGCAAACCGTCACAGTCCTTGTGTAAAATTGAAGGCTATGAGAGAATGGGATAAACTCAGAAACTTTATAAAGATGGAAAAGTAAAACAATGTTTGTTCAGTAGCAGAACGTAAAACCTCAAGGCTCTTCCTCCATCAGTGTTCTTCCATGGTGCCTTGCGCCTCGTGCTCTCTTAGAATAAGAGACCATCCTCACAAGAGGCACACTCACACACTCGGGTCTCAGTTTCTCATACAAGCCTTACATTTAAAAGGACAGACCTGTCATGAGCCATGTTCCTACCATTTCAATATCTAGCTGCATGCTCTCAATAGGATGCAAAGAAACAACTGCATTTAAGCACCGACCCCAAGAGAACTAATAGTCGCTCTAAGGTGATGTGGGTTATAAAGGAAGTTGGGTATTAATTATAATACTTGCCATTTAAAAAATTGGTGGTGTGTGTAATTTTACCTCATTTTCTCATTTGCCACTGTTATTTAAATTGCTTCCCAGCACTAAGCATGTGCATAAAAGATGATTGTTCCAAATTTAACCTTTTAAATAAAATGTGTTCTATTAATTAAGTCATTACTGCTCCCTCTCTTTTCCATTATGTTTGTTCATTTGTCATTGGTCCTAAAGATAGGCATCTGTGTCAGAGAATATTCTGGAGAAAGACCCTAATTTTGATGCCTATCACCCATTTGGATTTTCCACACTTTAAAAAAAAATTAGTTTATTTTAGTGTTCTAAAGAATTTCAACTTGTCAATTATTAAAATAATGATAAGTATTTCTCCTAGGGATAATAGGCATTATTCAGCCAAAAAGTTAAGAAGTTCCTTGTAAAACTTAATGTTACTAGAAAGTTTGTAGAAAGAAAGAGAGAGAGAGAGAGAGAGAGAGAGAGAGAGAGAGAGAGAGAGAGAGAGAGAGAAAGAAAGAAAGAAAGAAAGAAAGAAAGAAAGAAAGAAAGAAAGAAAGAAAACCACAAAGATAGATAGAAGCAAAGCAGCAGCAGAAGCTTCGCCTTCCTGGAAACCCCATTTTTAGAATAGCCGTGTGTGGCGAGACCCTTTACTCAGCTGTATTTTCTGTGCACATCCTCCAAAACAAGAGTTGCAGTCAGATACACTGAGGAGGATGTACAAAGTGTCTGCTTATCTTTCCTAGAGCACATGCGAGCACCCAGTGCCCTGCTAAGGTGTGAGGTGTTCTTGCTTACTCTTCCTGTATTTCTTTATGATCTTGACGAAGTGTAATTGTCTGCACCATCATGACCAAACTCATCTGTCACCATGCTCACTGCTTCCACTTATAAAAAGTTTTAAGTAACGAGAATGTTTGCCTGGATCTGTGCTGAGTAATTTTTCTTTTTTTTTTTCTTTTTACTTTATCTCCCATAATTTCCTGTGTGTTGCTTGTATCCCCACACTTGTATGGAAAGAAATAGAGTTAAAAAGAGTGTAGCAATGTTCCTGGTATCACCGGCCGCTGAGCTCCATCTGGCTGTTCAGTTACCACTAGTCGCCTTGTTCTGCCGTTCCGTTTAGTGTCTCAGGAACGATGACCATAGCGAAGGGATTGGATGCGTTTTCCATGTGATCTTCTAGGCTCTTAGCATGTACTTACCTCTGTCGTCTTTACCTAAATCTGTGGGGTGCCAACATATCGTTCATTTCATTGTAGTGAAACTGAAGTGAGCAAAGCTAACGTGACTTCTAAGACTCTTATCGAAATAAATCTAAAACTGCTCGGAGTGGAACAAAATTTGTCAAGCTTCCAGGCCAGGCTCCTAACTCTCATGGTGTCTGCTCATATATTAAGTGAGAAGAAACAGTTTATTTGAACTTTAAATTTCCAAACTTGCTGATCAAAATTATAGGCAACATTACTTTATTAGTCTCCAGGAATTTTTTTTTTGACAGAATCTTGCCATATAGCTCAAGACAGCCTTAAGCTTACCCACGTAACCCTGCCTCCATCTCTAAAGTTCTAGAACTATAGCATGCACCCTGTTCGTACCTGGTCCAGATTTCCATCTAATATCATCAATTCAGATAAAAAGAATACCAATTTTTCAGTATATGATTGTTTAAATGCTTTCCTGTATTTAATTTGTGTTGTTTCTTCTTAAAATTCTTTGGCTAGCACATCTTCTGTGATTGGTCACAGAGACAAAGGGGCAGCTAAGACTGTCCTTTAATCTCTGCTCCCTCAGCTGATGAAATGTAGGCCACAGAGACATGAGGATGTAGTGCGTGTTCCCGAGGTGTTACAAAGATTAAAATAATTAAACAGATGTAAAATATGTAGGGTAGAACCTGTGTGTTACAAGAACTCTGCAGTACTAGCTACTGTTGTTTTTAGTTGTCTGTATAGTTGATTTGTGGTAATTTTCTACTAGATTCCCTTGTAGGTGTTTTTAGGCACAACAAGGAAAGAACTTGGCCATGCGTGCTTGACTCACCACCCAACTGGAAATGCAAAAAGAAAAAAAAATCCAACAAGATTAGACAGTTAGAACAGGATAACCACATGCAGGCAGTGCTTTTAATTTCAACCTAAAGAAATAGCCATGAAAGGGTGGCAGGGGAGTGTCTGCCCATGTGTGGTGACTAGGTCAGTCACAGATGAACGACGTGGGCAGAGGGAAGAGACAGGCTAGTTAGGGAAGATGGAGGTAGTCTTCCTCGTTGCCACGTTCTCCTCACCTTATTCTCCATCCGTGAGTACCAGAGGTTTATAGACTGGCAAGAACTTTAGTAAATGGCGAGAGAAGGAACCACAGTGGCTGGGTGCTAATGTGCTTACCCACAGAGCATTGTTTAGAAACCCCATGCCTGCGTCCAGGGATTATTGATAGTGGTTTTCACATACTGCCTTTTCCTGATATTATATCCGTTTTACAGTAGCCCTATGTGACACAGTGGAGATCTTTTCTCTGTGTTTTCCAGTGGGGCTTTTTGTAGAATTATTTATTTCAATATTTGGTAAAATTCACCTGTGATGTCATCCAGTCCTAGAGTAGTCTTTGAAGGAAAATTTTACTTATAAACTCATTTTAAAATTTAACCAATAGGCCATACATATGAGCTTTTTCATCAATGTCTTTAAGCTTTCAGAAGGTTTTTTTCCTCCCATTGCTTAAGGGCTGTATAACTCTTGACCTAATTCTTCCACACTGTTGTGGTATGACCTGTTGTCATTTCTAAGTGCGCCCCTGCACTATGAAGCTTGCCACTGCGACTGTTGGGAGTGGGCATAGTTTTCATCTCTGTGTGAACTTTAAATGCTCTTTTCTTTCTGTTCAGTCTTGGTTTTCTAGGTAGTAGGGTCATGGTGGGGTGTTTCTTCAGATATCAGAAAAAATAGCTGGTTTTGCACTTTCCAAACGCCATGTGCATCGACTTCCCCAGATAACATACAGCATTCCTGTATTGCAAGGGACACCACTAGCTTCTTCCATGTCCCCTTTCTAAAGCATCTCCAGGAAGCTGTCGGGACTGAACGTGCGGTGATCACGGTGCTCACTGTATTTTTCCATCTTTATAAGTCCATCCTTTGTGGCCTGATGTCTACTTTGTTAAATATTATTACAACTTTTGTCCTTTCTTCACAAAAACCTTTCCTTTTTTCTGTTTCTATTTTGAGCAGATATAGAAGACTGGCCTTGAGTCTTGAATATGTATATATATATTGCTTTAATGCTCAAGTAGCTTTATTATCTATTATATATCCCATGGCCCTTGAATTTAGTTCTTCTCTAGCAGACATCAAAGAAAGAGCCGAGTTAAAAGAACTGCAAGTACTAAAACTTTTTATAAGTGTTACATTCACAGAAGGCCTAATAAACATAACTCTTCATAGTTGACTATAAATGTCTATGAATAAAATTGAGGCAGCCTGGGATAGGCTGGAAAAAAAACCCTCAAATCTTTGTCAGTAAAAGATTTAATTTATTATGAATCTATATTAATTCTTGGCTTTAAAAATGCTGATTTACAGGCAGGTCTAATCATTGTTTTTTATTTCTTCTCTCAGTGCCAGATGAAAGCGAAGTTCAGTCACTGGCTGACCGCAGACCGGGTAAGGAATTCCTTGTAACCGGCTTTCTCTTCCTGGAAATCGCTGCCTGTGCTTTAGTAGCATTTGGACCCTGTTTCTAAGCACTAGTCGGTGAAAAGCTTTCTAATTAATACATGAGTTGTCTCTTTCTTCCACAAAGATGAATTATCGCTTGGCTGTGTGCATAACAGCATAATGCTTGATGACTCAAAATGTGCAAGAAAAAGAAGAAAGGTTTCCAAAATAATCATCATTAAACCAAAAGCCTTAAAGCTATACACTAGATGAACACTTTCAAGAAACACAGACATTGAAAGGGAAAGCTAAGAAAGTTGGTAAAATTTTCCTCCATAACTTTCACATTAAAATTGGGAGACAGGAAATATCAAAAGAAGATGTGGTTATTTCTCAGGAAAAAAATTTAAAAAAGAAAATTGGCATACGTAATGTTGCCTGTCACTGGAAGAGACTGTGCCAGAGATGGCAGTATTATCCTTCTCCTTCCTCCTGAAGAGCCCCCTTGCTGTTCTCTCTGAGGGTCTTCATGGTCCTACTCTACCCCGATGAGGGGCCTCTGTGTATCAAGCCCTAGACTTCCTTTCTCTCCCTAGTGGCCTCCCTTCTCTTTTGTCCTTGTTCCTGGCTTTCTCTTCTCCTCTGTTCTTCCCTCAGTATCATCCAATCCTATCATTTGCAAACACAAAGTTACTAGAATAACAAATCCTCCAATATCTCCTACCTCTAGGGGTACCTCGTTTTGTAAAAAAAAAAAATACCCATTTGCCTCAGGCAAGCCACTCTACAGAGAGGCTATGCTTGGCACCCTCCCATGCTGAAACAAAGAATTCTTCCCCATTCCTGTGTTTCTATGCCAGCTCCCTTTCCAGTCCTAAGTGGCATTTGTGCCTCATTAACTTTGCCGTCATATTCCAGGGCAAGATTATGATTTTTATTCTTTTTTTCCTTCTTTAAATTTTCTAATGACTTTATCAGGGAACAGCTGGTTCACAACTCTTAGGTTCCACCTTTTATTCTTCCCAATAAGGAGCCTAAACACTATGAGCAAAAAAACATTCTGCTTATGTGGTTATAAAAAATTTTTATAAATTAGGTTTGTAAAAATGAGCAAATGATAAGCTTTCTGGTTATTTCCAAGAATTCCAATCTTAGTTTAATCTGAGTTTTAAAAAAATCACCCTTTGCTGGTTATCAAAAGTGATTGTCACTCTTTTGAACTGAAAATATCATTTTGGCTTCTTGCTATAATATTTTAGTCAAGTTTAAATGTTTGCTTTTAGCTAATGTGATATAAATATTTATGAAGAACTACTCTACAAAACTTAAAATAATGACCTTACAGATTTTGAGAAATCAAAATTGGCAGAATTTCATAGCTGGCAGATAGATTTCTTATAAAATTCTGCATGACAACTTTACTTCAGGTAGCAGATGGAAATAGTACCAGCAAGCTTTATACTATATAAAACATAATCCTAAAAAATACTAAATGACGTAAAAATATTAGCTGGCAAATAGATGTCCTATAAAATTCCACATGACAACTTTACCTTAGGTAGCTAATGGAAATTATATCAGCAACCTTTATACTATATGAAACATAATGATAAAATATACTAAATGACATAAAGATTTGTACTAATATATAATCACTCCAATAATCATTGTCCACATATCTCATGACCTTCTACATGATCACTGCATCAGAACTGACTGTTGCACATCCGTTGAATCTATGTAAATGTGAAAAAAAATAAACTTTATCTTACTTGGGCCTCTAATCAGAATTGAATCCAGTTTGGGCTCTGAGGCATCAATGACTTGAAGATTAAGGCAAGTAAGAAATTTGATAACTTTAGAGCAAACGTAATATTACACTGGTGTGTCACAGTGAACAAGTGCAACCTCTCCAACATTAGGGACACTTGTGATAGGACAGAGCTTCATTAGAGGAAAATGTGTGCCTAAGTTTGTAAATGATTATGCTCCAAGAATGTACCCTCTACCAGTTTTTTACATATTTATTTTGAAAATTAATCTTACTTATGATTTTATTTAGGCATTCGTCTCTCATACAGAAGCTCAACTCCCATATTATCCTACATTCATGTAGAGTAGGTAGGTCTCAAGCTGTGGGTTGCAACCCTTCTGGGGGTTGAACAACACTTTCACCGGGGTACACTCATATCAAATATTCTGCATACCAGATATTTATATTAAAATTCATAGCAATAGCAAAGTTATAGTTATGAAGTAGCAACAAAATTTTATGATTGGGCGTCATTATATTAAAGGAACTATATTAAAGAGTCACACAACATTAGGAAGTTTGAGGACCACAAATGTAGAGGGATTTCTCATGGGATGTTAGTGATGGAGATGGTGGATATAATAACAAATGATTAAAGGTTCTTCTAATTCTGAAAATTTCTGTTAAATCATTTAAAAAATTACAACAAATAAATATGTTTAGTTAGGCAGATAATTGATAAGAGAAAGAAGATAGATAGATAGATAGATAGATAGATAGATAGATAGATAGATAGATAGAGTCTGTGATATCAAATTCTCATGTGTACTCTGTAACTACAAATTGCCAGGATATATTTTACCTTGTTAGGGACCAGGATCACACTTCTGGAAATATTCAAGTGATCCCTTGAAGTTTTCTTGAAATATGATTTTTCCTTCCCCAAATCCTGTCTTTGGAATACTTAAGTAATAGATCAGCATATTTTTGGCTAACAAGAGTAGCTTTCTCTTTAATTCCAGAAATGTGGATAGCTTTAACGTTATCCAAGACTATCAGGAAGTTAAATAAATTAAATTGTGTATGCTGACTTAAGTCTACCATCCATCTTATTTGGGAGATATTCAACATTTAATAAATTCATTTGAGCTGAGCTTTCTTCTGCGTCAGCTTCTTAGTAAGTAGAGAGTCATTGTATGCCAAGTTTCATCTGGTCTGGCTTGGGCGCATCCCAATTTTGTGACAATATTTTTGGCACCTTTTCCTTGGCTTAATCTTGAAGTGGTTGATGCCTGAGGGCTAAGATTATATCAAAGGCTTAGGTAAGATAAATCTTTCTATAATTTTTGGCTCAAAATGGTGGTTCCCTTCACCCCTTCTGGAATCAACACATTATTCTTCAGAGTCCCCCAACAGCCTACTCATTGCATGAGCTTTCCCTCAGAGTGAGTGTGTTCCAGCCCATTACTCACTGCCGCTGTAAGCGTGTGGGGTCTTCTCCGTGCAAGGGAGGTCTTGATGTCTCCATACACACCCAGAGAAGTTAGAGATAAAATACCCTTTGTTTAGTTCCTTTAAGAACACAAGTTTTATTGAACCTTGAAGAATATTTTAACATCTTCCCCAATTTATTAATTGAACAAAATTTGTGCCCTAAAATGCAAGACATAAGAAAACTAATTATTATTATTTTTTTTTCTTTATTTTTTGAACTTAAGATATTATCATACCATTAACCTCTTCCATTTCCTACCCCTTGCTCTCTCAAGTTCATGGCCCCATTTTCTTTCATTGTTTATATAAGTGAGTGAAAGTGTGTATATGTGTGTTTGTGTGTCTTCCTAGAAACAACTACAACCTGCTCAGTCCATAGGTCACCTATACATATATGCTTTTCGTGCTGGCCACTTGGTATTGAATAACCAATTTCAAGATGACTTCAGTATCCTGAAGGAAACTTAGATTCCAGAGAAAATGAAATCAGCTTGGCACTTGATATTTAAAATTTTTGCTGTAATATTGACTATCCTAAAAGTGATAGAGAATATCTGGCATTTCCCTGCCTATATACTGAACCACAACCAACTATTCAGTGTCCCTCTTGTATTCAGTACGAAGGGGCTTATAAATTTTGTTCTTTTTTCTTACTGTGTCATCCTCTTTTTCTGTTGTTTTGATTTACTGCGCGGAGCTGGTTTAATATGTATTGACTGTCTGCAGGATCTTTGCTGACCCAGCTCTTTACGATGATGCAGTACTGAGAAAGCCAGGGACTTCTTCTTTACGAGCTCTGACATATTAATTAGGAAAATGGACTAAAAAGCTTTCCGATTTCTGTTTTAATTTCTTATATTCTAAAATACCTGTCTAGATAGCTGTAAAATAGGCTAGTCATTGAAAGGAACGGTGGGCTGTAAGTACAGATCTTTTTTGAATGCAGTTATCAATTAAGGAGAATATGCTTATTAGAAACTCAAGTAGATTTCTGCAGGCCAGGAGTCTTGCAGCCATGAAGTTTAACTGACAGCTGACACAGTGGATTGAGGAGAAGCTGAACCACAGGGCGGTTAACCCTGATCTCCCATATTGTTCTTGTGGGCTTAGGGAATGACCTAGGTGGTACGCTTCAGGGCAACGCTTGTGTTCCTAGAATGTTCCTAACACCCACAGTCCCCAGAACTGAGAATATTGGAGAATGTAGGTCCTTACTTTCCATTCTGTTGGGAATGCATGACTGACAAACATATCTCAAACATCTATATTCCCCTTTTGTAAACTTGATTTAACTGAAAAAGGAACACATATTCCAGACTGTGATACTCTCATAAAGATGAACGACTTCTAACTGTGATCAGTTTGCCTTGGTTTCCCCTCATGAAATGTACAAGCTTGTTTGTATATAAATGAGTGGGACAAGCTGGGAGTTACAGAAAAGGGGAAATGTGTGGCATTGATTATAGATTGTACTGAAGTGTCTGTGACATGCGTTATCGTCACAAAGCTCAGAAGTTATCAGGAAGTTGTAACTTTGGCAGACTTTCCCCTCTGCTGTAAGTGCAATGTGCATAATCTTCGAAAGAGATTTTTTTTTCAAGAGGGATCGAAGAAGTTTCTGGATCTTTATAAAAGTTTGGAGCTTTTAGGATGGGATTGTTGGCACATGCTTATAATCTCAGGAAACAGTGGTTGGAAGAGCCTGAGTTCAGATCCAGCCTTGACTAGACATAAGTTTCAGGCACCATAGTGAAATTTA